TGGATAAAAAAATGTATAATTTCGATACTTGAAGGACTAAAATCGCACAATTATCATATCTAAGAAACTAAAATTGTTTGATTAAATTTTAGAAGACCAAAACCTCACAATTACAATATTTAAGAGACTAAAATTATTTAATTAGAACCTTAAAAATCAAAATCACACAATTGTAATACTAAAAATATTAAAACATGATTAAACTTTTAAAAAAATCTTGAATAATTATTTTAAACCTTAACTACATTTTCCGTAAGAGTTTTATAAGTACAAAGGGTTCTATTGAAATTTTTCAAGTAGTCTATCACGTTGCTGGTTTAATTATTCAATATGTCTTTAAATTGTTTTAAATTATTATTTTAATATGTATAATACACGAGTTAAATGTTTACTATATGTTATTAAAATTTAAAATAAATTATATACAATAAATATTAATTTAAATATATAAATTATATTTAAAATTTGTATAAATAGATACTTTTAAATATATAAATTATATTTTAGTTTATGATAAATAAATTATATTGTAGCACAATATTAATTTTATTTATTGATAAATATTTTAAAAAAATATTAAAATTTATGATAAATAAAAACTTAATTAGATAAGAAGTTAAAAAAAATCCTTCAACACCCTCCCGTGGAAGAAAAACTCCACTCTTATGCAAGATAAGAGTTTGTGTTTAATATATAGGGTTAACAAATATTAGCTTGAATATATAAATCATATTTAAAATTTATATAAACAATTTAAACATATAAATTATATTTTATATTTATGATAAATAATTTATATTGTAGTACAATATTATTTTTATTTTTTGATAATTTATTATAAAAATATTAAAAATTAATTCATAAATAATTATGATAAATAAAAACTAAATTTGATAAGAAGTTAAAAAAAATCTCTTAAAATCCTCTCGTCGAAGAAAAAATTCTAAACAAGATAGAGGTTCTTGTTTAATATATAAGAGTTGGTTGATATTTTTATTTATTAATAATTTATTTAAAAATATTAAAATTTAGTTCACAAATAATTATGATAAATAAAAATTGAATAACATAAGAAGTTAAAAAAGAATCTCTCAAAATTTTCTTGTCGAAAAAAAACTCCTAAAAATATTATCGCACAAGAAGATGTTCGTATTTAATATATAAGAATTGATTATTTTTTTTATTAAGTTGTTTTACTTAAGCAATGTTATACTATGTTTGGTTTAGTAGTAAGGGTGAAAATGGTGAGAGGTAAAGGAAACATTTGAAGAGAGAAGTAAGTGAAAAATAAAGTAAAAATTGAAGTTGTTTGATAGGAAAGAAATAGAAGAGAATTGAAATTATTGGTTTATATTAAATTAAATAATTTTTATTTTTGAATAATATTATAAATTAATCTATAGATATATTTCTTCATAATCACTTTTATGGAAACTTTCAGAGAACACCCTAAATACATGTGAGATCCATATAATTAATTGTGTGGTGTGTGACACCCTCTACCCTAACATACATATACAGTAATTATAAAATAAAAATAAAAATTTTCATCATTAAAAACCAAATTTCCAACCACGTAAAGATAAAGAGCTCATATTTATAAACTTAATCCAAATAACGTGCCGGTAAAATTACAAAAAAAATAAAATTGAGTTTTTCAAAATAATTTAATAAGAATATCTTAAACTAATCTTATCTATGTCCCGATGTCACATGTCCTATCAGAGCAAAGTCTAACATAGAAGCCTAAGTTTCATCACCAACATCCTCAACCTCACGCTAATGATTACCTGTATAACAGTCAAAGAAAAACAACACGAGAAAAAGGAGTGAGAAACATCTCACTCTAGCTCATAGTGTAGGAATATACACGAATAGCCAAACACAAACAAAACATATATAACACATATAAATTGATAATAATATCACAGCTCACTCATTCAATACATAGAAATATCAATTTATCATATAACATTAAAATGCACATGGATGGACATGGACTACATTTTATCATACATGTGGTGTCAGTAACATATCACATGGCATATTGCCGCTAGCAATACACGAAGAGTAGTCCAGGAGTACATGTCGGGTCACACCCTCTGCGCACTCTCACTAGAAGGACATACTACCAGAGTCTCGTCGGGCTAGCTAAGCCGCGCAAGATACATCCCATGCACACAATGGGCGAGACTGAGACTTACAAACCGAGTTATCCCCAAAGCTTTTACACTAGGGGGTCTTCTCTGGCGGTGTATTTCATATCGTACCCTTAAAAACATTTATGCACATGATGCATGTCAATCAAGACTCTATGCATCCTCATATCACATAATCATCATCACATTTCATCACCACATTTCATCATCATATTTCATCATCATATCTCATCATTATATTCACATTTCATTGTCATATCACATTATCACATGTCATTCACAATTTTCACAAAGCACTTTAATCCATATTAAAACTTATCTATTTTTAAAATAAAACACATATTTACACTCCATAAATATCAAGGAACACAACAGAAAACTCATAAGATAAAACAAAAAATATTTAAATTTTGTCATTTTCCCATAGGATTTTCATAGGAACCCACAGAGCTAATTCATATCAAAACTTGTTTATTTTCAAAACTAAACACATATTCATTCATCTCATTCAACAAGGAACATGATAGAGTAATCAGAAAGCAAAACAGAAAACGTTCACATTTTGCCGGTTTCTCATAGGGTTTTCACAAGAACCCACAGAGCACTCTAATTCATGTCAAAACTTGTTTATTTTCAAAACTAAACACATATTCATTTATCTCATTCAACAAGGAACACAATAGAGTAATCAGACAACAAAACAGAAAACGTTCACATTTTTCCCGTTTCTCATAGGGTTTTCACAGGAACCCACAAAGCACTCTAATTCATATCAAAACTTGTTTATTTTCAAAACTAAACACATATTCATTCATCTCATTCAACAAGGAACACAATAGAGTAATCAGACAACAAAACAGAAAACGTTCACATTTTTCCTATTTCTCATGGAGTTTTCACAGGAACCCACATAGCACTCTAATTCATCATTAAACATTTAAAACAATACAATTAACTCATACAATTATCTTTTCAAACCATCTCCTCTTACAATCACCAATGCATTCCCTTAGGATTTCTCATAAGAACCCATAGAGATCTCAGATCATACAATTAATTACATATAAGAAGAATAATAGGCAAAACAGATACAATTGGAGGAAATTTCTCATACATGAGCATACAAAAAATACAATAAACACAGGATTGGGAGTCAATCTCACTACCCAACATATATTTCCAAACCCAAAGTGAGGTTTCTCACTCCCCCTTACCTCGATAAGCAAGAGCTGTAACCAAAACAAGACCTTATTAATCTCCTCCTCTTAGTTCCCCTTGGTCTTCAGAGAGTATAGAAGAAAAGAGGTCAAAAGTGAAAAATGCGTTTTGTGAAGCTTGTGGACTAGCTAGCTTAACAATAACGTTTCATTTTTCTTTTTAATTAACACACTAGGACTTTAATTTAGGTGGTATGTTTGAACTTTTAAATTTTCAAGATATTAAGATTTTGATGTTAGGTTGGTGTATTTGAAAATTTAAAATTTTAAGACATTAAAATTTTGATATTTTTGTTAAAATGTGTAAATATTAATATGTTAAGACTTTGATATTTTATTTAAAATTCTTGATTTTATTACAAAAGTAATTATATTTCATATATATATATATAT